CCCCACCCCCCCCCCCCCCCCCCCCCCACCATTTCAGGAGGCAGCAGTGGGGCTGCCTTCTGAACAGTCTCAAGGGCTGGCTGCAGAGGCAGCCAGCATGCTGTCTACAGTTATGCAGTCAGTGGAGCTGCCCATGCTTCCTGATAAGGTGTCAATGGGGGTGTTCACCAGTGGCCCCCCCCAGGCAAAGGCCCTCCCTGTCTTGACTAAGAGAGATGGGCATGGCAGCCCCATTCTCAGGACTTATGGGGTCACTGTCACGGAGCACCCATCACTCCCGCAGGCTGTGGAAATGGCCATGGAGATGGATGAGGCACCTGTGGAAAGTGGGGCAGACCCAGCCATTGATGTGGTCATGGATGGTGATCAGTCTTTTATGGTCCAGACCCCTTTCTGGTGTATGAAGGGGAGTACAACAAGGGCATTGGTGTGTGGCCAATGGAGGGTATGGAAGAGAGAGAGGTGGAGGATGCGGGAGAAATGGCACCAAAGGAAATTGTGGTAGCCCCAGTGCCTGTGGTTCCAGGAGTAGTGGAGAGTGCCATGGTGACAACATCCTGCTCATGTACCCAGCATCAGCAGATGGTGGGTACTTCCATGCCAGCTAACCAGTCTCAGCCCCCCCCTGCAGCCCCTAAGCTTCTGACATTGGGACCAATGACCATCTCCACATGATCCTTTGGGTGGACCAACATTCACCATGCTCATCCAGTCAAAACACCATTTGTGGAGGTAGAGCTGCCACCCTATGATCCAGAAGTCATGCTCCCACATTCCGCACCATTGACAGCTGCAGAAAAGGATCAAATGGCATTCAATGCGTATGTCCACAAACTACCAGTGCCATGGATGGACTTCATCTATGCGCCTGTTGTACCAAGCAGGTTGGATCCCTGGCAACTGCCACCTGTGCCTTGCACACCACCCATTTGTGTGCTTGAACAAGACATGAAGGAGTTCAAACCAATCCATGGTGGGCAATCCATCAAGATGGATGGCCATGACATCATCTGGCTTGGCAAGAGCACCAATTCTTGGGCCAACAACTTTATCCTGGATGGTTTCAGCCACCTGTTGCAGGCAGGGTGGCCACAAGATGTGTTACCTCCCCTCATCACTGAGCAGGCAGATATCACGGTCTGGCCAGCATCCATTACCATGACTTTCCAGGCATTGTGCCACCAAGATGACAACACCATCACCCAAGGCATGATGTACATGTTCAAGAAACACTTCTGCAATATGTCCAACCAGAGCATCCAGTCCTATGATTGGAAGCTCAATGACAACTGGTTGGCAGCAAAGTGGGTCTTTTACATCTTTACTCCGGGACACTGGTTCCTTGGAATGATCAACTGGTCAGTCGCAGTTGTTGCAGTGTGGGATTCATGGGGTGTATCATTGAAGCAGTGGTATCACACAGTGCAGGATGGAGGACAATTTGGTGATATCTAATGAAGAATCTCATGTGAATCTTAGATGCTGCAGAGGTTGGCTTGATTGCTCATAAGGCTGGCCCGCCATCCTCATGGCACCTATGGGGTGGAACACTGGAGGGTGATAAGAACCATGGTATGTTGAGTTAGCTTGGTACATCAACATGGACTAACAGTGAGCCAGGTGCCTGAGCAAGGCCACCAGAATGATTGTGGATACTGGTCACTTGCACATGCCATGGCCATCCTCTGAGGGTATGAAGGCTCTGGGATGTTGCCCTCTGACATGCCAACATTCTGTCAGTGGTTGTACGACAAAGTGGCCGAGTTGCCCAATTACAATGTGAAGATGGTCATGCAGATGGGTGTGTAGATAGCACTGGTAGATTTCTTTTTCTGTTCTAGATATACTTAATTAATATGGTAGTCATTAGAGCCTGAGATCACATGGAAGACAACCCAGTATATTGGTTAAGATGCCAGGTTCTGTCGGCACAGTGCCATAAGAATCCACAGTAATTTTGATGGATTTTTTTTTGCCTTGGGAATGAGGAAAAACATGACCAGGGGGACTGTGTCTCAGACTCTCCCCTTCCTTCCCTTCTCTTGTCATTGACCCCAACCCCCAACCCACCCACACAAGAGATGTCTCTGCCTGTATTACATGCACCATTTGCCATGGCGGACATGGTGCATGTGTACAATCAGCAGTGGGGGTCGATGGGACAATGGAAAATTGAGACAACATCAAAGAAAGCATGTAAGGTATGCAACCAGCCCTGCAAGCTGCTAGCATGCATGAACTGTTCAGGGACCAAACCTCAAAATTATGGCCATCTATACTTGCTGGTATGTTCTGGGAATGGTCACTGGGAATGCTGCTGACATATTTGCAGTGTTTTGACCACCCTAAGGTGCAAGTCACATATCACTGTGAACCACTGCACCAGGATGATATCAATACATTGCAGTAGAGCTTTAAGGAAACAGCACCCAACTGGGACTCAGCATCGAGCATTGCAGAGGGGACACCATGAAAGCTGAGGAAGAAGCAAAATCCCATTGGTGCTGGAGTGCTGTGCCTGATCTGCAAGAGCCAAAGTCACCAGGGCTGTGGGAAAGGGTGGTGCAAGAGGTGGTGTCTCAGTAGGGAGGTTGCAAGTAGCCATGGGATGTTGCCAGGGTGCAACATGCATGGTATTAGTACCCAGGATATTGTGGCTTGTCCCCTGCCCATGGACTAAAGGGGGACTGCCTTGATAACTAAAAGTGAGAATGATGAGGCAGAGCTGGAGACCCTGCCCAAAGTGGAAGATGTGCTGTGGGGGGAGCTCATGTTAAGTCTGGATGCCCCTGCTCCTTTGCCTGGAAAGGTGCACCCTGCTCCTTAGCCTGAGAGGACACAAGCAAATGGTAGCACTGGATCACAGGCCCACCCCATGACAGGTGAAGTAAGACTGTGCCAACCTGTTGGAGCAGAATGGGCTGCCAGGCTGGGATGCCAGCAAGCAGAGGCAGAGAAGGTCCAGTTGCTAGAAGCAGACTTGCAGAGGAGCTTTACTCTGGTGATCTTCTCCAAGGTTAGTTATTAAGATTTGTTTATTCTAAAGAACAGCAGCTGATTGTCCAACCAGGCCAAGAAGCACATTTACAAACACATATGTGCAATGGTTTCACCTATGGCAGGTCTTGTCACATGCGTGGATGGGTGGCCCACACAAGTGGAAGCCACGTTGGAGGATGAACTTGCAGATGAGTTTGAGAGGATCAAATGGATTTGCATCTTTGACCCAGATGAGCAATGCTGGGTATCACACGGCATGACACAGTTTGGCCAGTCCACAAGGGTGAATGTGTGGTTTGCCACCTGAGAGGTGTGGTTGAAGATGAGTGGGTGAAGGAGGAGATGATGAAAGTGATGCCAGTAATGGTGAAAGATGAGAAGCAAGGGTGGAAGCGAGCAAGATCAGTCTTGCTGACTTCAGAGTATGGGCTGTCACCATCTGGGGTAGGAAGCCTGTGCCAGTGGAGCCTGTGCCACTGCACAAAGCATGGAGGTCACTGACTCTGGTAGACCTGGACAGAGTACTTGAAGACATAAAGCCAATCAGGCTGGCCATGGGAAGGATGAAAAGGCATGAAGTGAGTGTGATTGACTTGACATCACTGACACAACCCTTCCACAAGTTTGCCACCCTCTTCTCCTCCCCCTTTGCTCCTGGATGTCTTGGAGAATGCCCAAGGGCAATGGCCTGGCAATTGCACATACAGGGTCATTTGCTATGACCATGAGCAGATCAAAGAGCTACAGAGGAGCCATCGTAAGGATTGGCCATTGGCTTTCAAGGAGGTTTATGGCTTCACAGGGGTTGCCTTGACTTATTACAAGCATGTAGTGTTCATAGAAAAGGATGGGTATGAGGCATTGGATGCAAAGTATGCATTGACAACGCACAGTCTGTGGAAAGACTTCAAGTATGATGCTGGCCAGTGCAAGAAGGAGCTCACCTGTGAGTTGAAAGGGAAAAGAAAACAGGTGAAGCAAGAGGTCAATTAAACTTAGACATAGCTGTCAGGGCACCAGCTCATTGCTTGGTCAAGAGACATGACTAAGCCTTTATGACATGGAAGTAGCTGGTATACCTTGGCATGTGCTGGAACCTGCTGGAAGGATTGGATGGTCAGGTGACCTGCTGTGCATGGCTGTGCATGACCTCATATGACCTCATCCTTGGTCATATGACCTGATCACCTGACTAGGCTAAGTAAGCAAGATGTTCTAGCAGGTTCCACCACAGAGGTATAAATATAAGGCCTACTCTGCCTGGGGACTGTCTCTTTAGACTTGGTCTCTTAGGATCATCCACAGGTACCTATACTGTAGATAGGTCTTAGTCATCAGGTCTACTCCACTTCCTTGTTGCCTGCTTAGACTCTTGGCACTCTTAGGTGAGCAGACTTAGTCAGCCTGTGTTGCCCTAAACATCCCCCCCC